AAAATTTTTTTTTTTTTTATTAAATTGGGTTAAAACAATTTTTAATTAATTAATTTATTTATTTAAACGTTCAAAACAAAAAAACAAAATATAGTGATTTGTTTGTTTGTTTGTTTGTTTTTTGAGTGTTTAATATCATTATTATTAACCGTTATTAATTATTAACCGTTAGAATAAATTTTACAAGTATTTTTAGTGTTCTGTTTTTTTTTTTTTTTTTTATAATTTAAATCGGTTGGGTACTAATATTAAAAAATTTTATTATATTATTATGTTAATAATTTGTATTGCCAGGAGAATTTATTATTATTGCATAATTTATGATTATAATATTTAATTTACCCCTACTACATAATTGAAAAAGAATTGAAAGTATAAAAAAAAAAAAAATGTTAATTTAAAACGTCCCTGAGATTCAACTATTTTCCTAATTATATATTAAATTTTGCACTTAAGCAAACACTTTTTATTAATAGTTAAATAATGTGAAGCAATTTTCTTTTGTTTTTGTTTTTTATTATATTATACATTCAGTTGTTTTTTATTATCAAAAGACAAAAAAAAAAAAAAAACAATTATTATTAAAATAATAAAATTTATTTATTTTTTTAAATAATAATAATAATAATCAATAAAGCAGTAAAAATGTTTCCGGTTATTTCTACACAAAAACAAAGTTTCGGTATAATTAATTTATCTTTGTTAGAAGATAATAATTTTTTAATAAAAACTAATAGTGTCGTTGATAAAAGTGATAAGGAAGATGAAAAATTAAATCAAAAGCATTGGTCTTTGCCATTGGAAAAATATCATTATGATTTTATTGTGAAATGTGTCGGTATTATTATGAAAGAAGCCGTTTTCGACGGTACAAATCGTAATTCAAAAGTTGTCCAATGGCAAGACCCGGAAAAATTAAAAAAATCCTTTGATTTTTCCTTGAATAAATATTCTGAAACGGAAGGAAAATTATTACATTTAATATCGACGATAATTAAGTTTAGCGTTAAAACCGGGCATCCATATTTTGTTAATCAATTGTTTTCGGGGTAAGTTTTAGCTTTTAATAAACTTTATTGGTTCACACCAAGTTGTATGTATTATTTATGTATCAATAAGAGTAATTAAAATTATTTTATAAATTTATGTTCCAATTAATGAAGTTTAATTAAATAATTTAGGGTTGATCCCTACGGATTAATAGGACAATGGCTGACAGATGCTTTAAATCCAAGCGTTTACACTTACGAAGTTTCACCCGTGTTTTCAATTATGGAAGAAGTTGTATTGGAGGAAATGAGAAAATTTATCGGTTTTCCCAATGGTAAAGGTGATGGAACATTTTGTCCCGGTGGTTCCATATCAAATGGATTCGGTATAAGTTGTGCAAGATATCATTTATTTCCACAAGTTAAGGTAAAAGAAAACTGACTGATTTTTGGTAGGTTTTTAATTTTTTTTTTTTTCTCTATCATTATTATTATTTAAAAGTGAAAGAAAAAAAAAATCATTAAAAAAAATTCTTATAGTCTTTTATGTAATGAAATGTAGAAACTTGGAATTTATGGTATCGGGCTACGCTTAGTATTGTTTACATCTAGAGATGCACACTATTCAATTGTTAAACTTGCTACCTTTATGGGATTAGGATCTGATAATGTTATTTCAATAAAGACTGACGAAAGTGGGAAAATGAAACCGGAAGAACTTGAAAAAGCGATATTGAAAGTTTTACAAGAAGGAGGTACACCTTTTATGGTGTCTGCCACATCCGGTTAAGTAATTTTATAATTTTTGTATTAAATTTTTTTTAAAATTTATTGTAAAATCTAACATTTTTTTTTTTGTTTTTTTTTTTAGGAACGACGGTTTTGGGAGCATTTGATCCATTGGATAGCATTGCTGATATATGTGAAAAATACAAATTATGGTTTCATGTTGATGCTGCTTGGGGTGGAGGCTGCCTGATGTCAAGTATTCATAAAAAAAAATTACAAGGAATTCACAGGTAAAATTGTAATTTAATGACAATTGAAATTTTAAACACAAATTTTAATAATAATTAATATTTTTTCAGAACTGATTCAGTGACATGGAATCCTCATAAGTTGTTAGGAGTTCCCCAACAGTGTTCGGCTTTTTTAACAAAACATAAAAATTTATTAAAAAATGTACATTGTGCAAAAGCTACTTACTTATTTCAAAAAGATAAATTTTACGACGTCAAATATGACACCGGTGACAAACACATTCAATGTGGACGAAGAGCAGACGTCCTTAAATTTTGGTTTATGTGGAAAGCAAAAGTGAGTAACGAAAAATCTAATTTTTTTTTACCATTAATTGAATAAAAAAATTATGGTTTTTTTTTTTTTTGTCTTCTTTTTAGGGATCTTCGGGATTCGAAAAACATATAAATAAAATATTTGAAACAGCTCTTTATTTTAAAAAATCCATCGAAAATAAACCTGATTTTCAACTTGTATTATCTGAACCCGAGTGTACAAATATTTGTTTTTGGTACATACCTCCTAGACTTCAAAATTCAAAATATAATAATGATGATTTAAACAAGGTAAAAAAATTTTTATTAATTTATTAATTTTTCTTACGATAATTACATTTTCTTTGAAATTATTACAGGTCGCTCCTCGAATGAAAGAAAAAATGATGAAAGATGGCTCCATGATGATAACTTACCAACCTCTAAGACATCTTCCAAACTTTTTTAGGTTGGTAATAGTGAATTCCGGATTGGACACCCATGACATGGATCGACTTATAACGATTATTCAAAATGCAGGAGCATCAATTTAATTTTAAATCACGTACAAAATTACTTTTTCACTTTTTTATGTCAATATTTTTAAAAAAAAAAAATTAAATGTAATTGCTTTAAATATTTAATTGCAATTTTTATGCACTTTTAACGGATGTGTAACATAAATAAAATTTAAACCAAAAAAAAAAAAAAAACAAATAAAGAAAATGTAAATGTAACCATAGTCCTTCAACTAATATTATTATTAATATTTTTTTTTTTTAATTAAAAATGAAAGTAAGTTATTATCATAGAATATTTTTATATAAAAAAAAAAAAAAAAACAAAAGTGAAAGAAAGTGTCAGAGAGCGTTTTCAATGTAAATGAGGGGAATTTTCGAAAGCAATTATTTACTCCATCACTTTTTCTCCAAGGCAACAACAACATGTTGT